TCAGTGAAAATAACAGACCACCAGCATAATAAACATATGAATGCAGAGTATCTAGTGAAAAACAGCTGGGTATCTCAGGAGAAAAGCCGGCAGATTATACAGTAGTTTTGAGAACGAGCAGACTACTGGAAATGCAAATCAGGAAGCAAGGATAGCTATTAAAAATGAAGTCAATGAAAAAATATAATTCAAATACCCAAATCACACAATTTCCAAAAACTAATATGATACTTACAAAAAACCAAAAGTATGATGTTTGAAAAAACTTACCCTGAAATAAGTGAAGTTACTAGCTGCTAAATAAATGTCACTCAAAAGCAGTCTCTTGGCTTTTTCTTACACAGCGGGCAACTTTTCTTTTAAATTCTCCATTTCTATCTTCCCTCCATTCTTTCTGTAATTAAAAAAGCAGTATCAAATGATTTCATGCAAACTCCTCTTTATAATCTCAAATATTTAATTTGGAATGTAATCCCTTGGTGATTTGTACACTTCAAAAATGTTGTAGAGTTGATAAGGTAGAAAACAGATACACTTTTGGAAGACATTGTCAGGAAACACAGGCAGAAATCTAGTATGCAAACCTCTACATTAAAAATTATCTTTAAAAAAGGTCACAAAAGAACATTTACACTTTTGTATTACACTGAAAAAGAAATATAAAATATACAAATAAGACATTCAGGCCAGGTGCAGTGGCTCACGCCTGTAATACCAGCACTTTGGGAGGCCAAGGTGGGCAGATCATGAGGTCAGGAGTTTGAGGCCAGCTTGATGAACATGGTGAGACTAAAAGTACGAACATTAGTCGGGCGTAGTGGCGCACGCCTGTAATCCCAGCTACTCAGGAGGCTGAGGCAGGAGAGAACTGCTTAAACCAGGGAGGTGGAGAGTGCGGTGAGCTGAGATTGCACCACAGCGAGACTCTTGTCTCAAAACCAAAACACAACAAAACAATATTCAGTTGGTAATCTGAAGGATTATCTGAAAGATTACCAACTCTCCCTGTTGGAAACAACCAGAAAATAAACATAAAAGTGGCTGCAACATAAAGTAGATAGGTGGGATGCATCATACTGAGATTTAAAAAACGTGACAATTATCACTTATCACTGCCAGGCATGTGAAAATGGAACAGAACAGTGGCGGGGTGGGTGGGGAAGAGGGAATGGGGTGGAAGGAGAGAGAGCAAGAGAGAGAAGAAGAGTTGGGGGAGAGGGGAGACAAAGCAGGAAAAGGATCTATTAAACGGAGGTCTAAAGAAGCTAAAATTTGGAAATGGCAACTCTGAGACAAGCCTGAATAAAAAGTGGGGCTGAGGCCAGGTGCAGTGGCTCCTGTCTGTAATTCTAGCACTTTGGGAGGCCGAGGTGGGACCTCAGATCACCTGAGGTCAGAAATTCGAGACCAGCCTGGCCAACATGGTTAATCACCATCTCTACAAAAGGATACAAAAATTAGCTGGACGTGGGGGCGCACACCTGTAATCAGCTACTTGGGTAGCTGAGCCAGGGGAATCACTTCAATGAGAGGCAGAAGTTGCAGTGAGCCAGTATTGTGCCACTGCACTCCAGCCTGGGCAACAGAGCAAGACGCCACCTCTCAAAAAAACAAAGTGGGGGGGGGCGGGTGTGCACTGAAATTAGAAATTAATTGAAAGTCTGCACACTCAGCTGGGCACAGTGGCTCACTCCTATAATCCCAGGACTTTGGGAGGCCGAGGCAGGTGGATCACGACATCAGGAGATCAACGTTAACTGACAAACATGATGAAACCCTGTCTCTACTAAAACTACAAAAATTTGCCGGGCAGGGTGGCACATGCCTATAGTTCCAGCTACTTGGAAGGCTGAGGCTGGAGAATAGCTAGAACCCAGGAGGCGTAGGTTGCAGAGCCTAGATCAAGCCACTGCACTCCAGCCTGAGCGACAAAGCAAGACTCCATCTCACAGAAAGAAAAAAAAAGAAAAAAAAAAAAAAAGAAAAGAAAAGGAAAAGAGAGAAAGAAAGAAAATCTGTATACTCAACATTTTCCCCCACCTATATCCAAAAGTTTAACACTTTCCCGAAATAATGATAATATACAAACTTTACATAAATATACTGAAGAATACTGTAATTAGAATTGCTAGGCTGGGAGCGGTGACTCACACCTGTAATCCCAGCACTTTGGGAGGCCGAGGCAGATAGGTCATCTAGGTCAGGAGTTCAAGACCCAGCCTAGCTGACATGGTGAAGCCCTGTCTCTACTAAAAACATAAAAAATTACCCAGCCATGGTGGTGCACACCTGTAATCCCTGTTAGGAGGCTGAGGCAGGAAAATCGCTTGAACTCAGAAGGCAGAGGTTGCAGTGAGCCAAGATTGTGCTACTGGATTCCAACCTGGGCAACAGAGCAAGATTCCATCTCCAAAAAAAAACAAAAACAAAAACGAAAAACTGCTAGTGCAGGTATTGGTGTCAAAAACAATTACTTGTTCACTTTGTAATTGAAATGATAACCTCTTCCTCCAACCCTTATCCTAACCTTCAGTTTAGTATCTGCTTCGTCATCCACATAAACATATAGCTTTGAGAGACATCAATATCATAAACACACCCTTCCCAGACTCTCTTTTCTTTTTTTTTTTTTTTTTTTTTTTTTTATCTCTTTGTGTTTTTTTTTTTTTTTTTTTTTTTTGGTATTTTATGAGATAGGGTCTTACTCTGTTGCCTGGGGTAAAGCGCAGTGGTGATCATAGCTCACTGGAGGCTCGAACTCCTAGGGCCTGCAATCAATCCTCCCACCTCAGCCTCTGGAGTACTTAGGACTACCTGTGCACATTACCACACACAGCTTACTTTGTATTTTTTGTAGATGGGGTTTCATCATGTCGCCCAGGCTAGTCTGGAACTCCTAGCCTCAAGTAACTCACCTGCCTTGGCCTCCCAAAGTGCTGGGATTACAGACGTGAGCCATCGTACCCAGCCTCAAAATAATTTAAAAGGAAAATTTCCCAGGGCTGATAGTCTTTAAACTTAAAGGGTATACATCAAGTACAGAGATGGCAAAGTAAAAAGAGTTCCCGCAACTCTGTGAAATTTCTGAGGACCAACAATAAAGCAAAGAATCTAAAGATAACAAGGAAAAAAAAAGGAAAAAAGAACAAGTCACCTAAAGATAGAAAAGAATTAGCCCAGCATCAATTTTTGCATCAGCAAGAATAAATGGTAAAATACAAGTTCCACGTAAATTTGATTTTATCCCTATAATATTAGAAACAAAGTATCAATCAAGCATAAGGGAAGAATAAAAGCACCTTAAATCATGAACAGACTCAGGATGTAATTGCCACATACCCTAAGACATTGCTCTAGATGAAGGAGGAAATCAACCAAGAAGAGAAAGAAGAAGGGGGATCCACGAAACAAAAGATTCAATTGAGAAAACAGTGAATGGGAAATCCGAGTAAGGCAGCTAAGCAGCAGGCTGATAAAGTCGGAGCCAAAGAATAAAGGGACCCGAGAGAGATGGCTAAGAAAAATAGGAGTTTCCTGGAATAGGTACTACTGATTGGGAGGTCAGAAAAACAAACTGTGAAAATATGATCAAAGGTGTAGTATTCAAGAGGAAAAAGCAAGTAAGAACGGTAAACTGGGCTGGCGCGGTGGCTCAAGCCTGTAATCCCAGCACTTTGGGAAGCTGAGGCAGGTGGATTACCTGAGTTCAGGAGTTCAAGACCAGCCTGGCCAACATGGCAAAACCCTGTCTCTATTAAAAATACAAAAATTAGCCAGGTGTGATGGCATACGCCTGTAATCCCAGCTACTAGGGACGCTGAGGCATGAGAATCACTTGAACTCGGGAGGTGGAGGTTGCAGTGAGCCGAGATTGTGCCATTGCACTCCAGCCTCAGTGACAGAATGAGACTCTGTCTCAAACAAACAAAAAAAGAATGGTAAGCTGTTTATAAGTCATGGTTTTTGGTTTTTATATGAGAAAACTAAGTCAGAAGGAAGAATCAGTGGGTTTCAAGAAAAAAAAAATGGAATAGATTTTGCACAATTTGTGGTGTTTGGACTAGAACTCATGTTTGCATATTTCAACTTTATATTAAGGCCTATTTCTGCACTCAGAGAAATGTTTAGCATCAAGAGAATGACTTTATTTTGGCAGTACATTTGGCTTTTTTAGGATTCAGCTATTTTGAAGGGTTAATAAATAATGTTTGTATATTTATGGTTTTGATTAATAGCTATTAATTTACTCTTCTTTAAGATAAAAGGGCCAGGCATGGTGGCTCATGCCTGTAATCCCAGCACCGTGGGAAGCAAAGTCAGGAGTTCGAGGCCAGCCTGGCCAACATGGTGAAGCCCCATCTCTACTGAAAACACACACACACAATTGCTGGGCGTGCTGCGCACGTCTGTAATCCCAGCTACTTGGGAGGCTGAGGCAGGAGAATCACTTGACCCAGGAGGTGGAGGTTTTGGTTGCAGGGAGGCCAGGTCATGCCACTGCACTCCAGTCTGGACGACAGAGTAAGACTCTGTCAAACAAACAAACAAATAAATAAAATAAAATAAAATGAAAGGGCAACTTGTCAGCTCTGATCTCATTAAAATTGCTGACAGCTGATCACGAACTAAATAAACATTCATCAGTTCTCTCTCAGAATGATTCCCTAGGATTTCTTTTAATGTGGCTATCACCCCTTCTCCCTTATCATCTCTTACATTGTTGAGACAAATACTTGATTAAATAGAAAGTTAATAGTTTTCTGCCAATTTTTAGTTCAACTTTATTACGAATTTCAGTCATAGCTTTCAGAGGGAGTTCTCCATAGTGTCTTAGTCTATGTGTAAAATTCCACCCAAGTTGTTATTAACCTAAGAAAAAGGGTAAATTTTATACCCTGGCTTTGGTATATAATACTAACAAAGGTTCTAAGAATAAGAACAAAAGGCTTTTCAAAGAAGGAGAGATGGCTAAGGAACTAGGAACTATTCTAAAGGAGCCTAATGAAGTTTGAATATCAATGTAACGGATGTTCCTAGGCTAGCCTCTGGATTTAAAAAGGAAAAAAAAAAAAAAAGATACTGGATTGGGGTGTGGCAGCTTAAAGAGTAGTGGACGATCCAAGCCAATGTGAACATAGATTGCATATGTGTAAACAATAACAGTACTACATCAATGACAGGCTTGCACTATGTGTACATGGAAAGATAGGCTCGTTCTTAGGGAACAGATGCTGAAACATTCTGGGGTGAAGGGTTATATCTATAAACTACTCTCAAACTGTTTAGAAAAATTGCAAAATTTCTACAATTGGTGAATCTAGGTGAAAGGTATAGTGGTGTTCATTTAACACATTTTTTTCTATACATGTGAAACTGAAAAACTGAAAACTTGGGGATAATAATATGAACTTTAATAGAGACTAGGCATTAAATCGTCTCAGGTATGACAACAGGTTTTTAGAGTCCAGGTCTTGCTCTGTCGCCCAGGCTGGACCACAGGGGTGTGACAACAGTGCACTGTAGACTCCAACTCCTGGGCTCAAGCCATCATTCCGCCTCAGCCTCCAAAGCAGCTGGGAATACAGGAACACAGCACCATGCCTAACTAATTTTTTTTTTTTTTTTTAATTGTTGGTAGAGACGAGGTCTTGCTGTGTTTCCCAGACTGGTCTTGAACTCCTGGCCTGAAGCAATCCTCCCTCCTAGGCCTCCCAAAGTGTTGGGATTACAAGCATGAGCTACCACACCCAGCTTACGATACTATTATACTTATGTAAGATTGTCATTTTTAAAAGATGCAGGCTTGGGCCGGCGCGGTGGCTCATGCGTGTAATCCCAGCACTTTGGGAGGCCGAGGCGGGTGGATCACGAGGTCAAGAGATGGAGACCATCCTGGTCAACATGGTGAAACCCCGTCTCTACTAAAACTACAAAAAATTAGCTGGGCATGGTGGCGCATGCCTGTAATCCCAGCTACTCAGGAGGCTGAGGCAGGAGAATTGCCTGAACCCAGGAGGCGGAGGTTGCAGTGAGCCAAGATCGCGCCATTGCAATCCAGCCTGGGTAACAAGAGCGAAACTCCATCTTTTTTTTTTTTTTAAAAAAGACGCAGGCTTAAGTATTTAAAAGCAAAGCTTAACTATGTCTGCAACTTCCATAAAGATTCAGAAAAATTATAAACAGAAATAGAAATAGAAACTTACTACTGCCATTTTATTGTTTTCTGGTTGTTTTGTATAGATCCTTTTGCTCTTTCTTCCTCTCTTGCTGTCTTCCTTCATGAATAATAAGTGATTTTCTCTACTGGTATTACTCAATTTCTTACTTTTTATCTTTGTGTTAACTACTGTAGGATTTTGCTCTGTGGTTACCATGAGGCTTACAAAAAAATTTCATAGTTACGACAAGTCATTTTAACCTGATAGCTAATTTTGATTGCATTAAAAACTACGTAGGCTCTGCCCATTCCACCCCCAATTTTAAATTTGGTGTCACAGTTTACACCTTAGTAACAACGTACAGTATTCTACAAAAGTACTGAGAGGAGAATTTAAGTGTTTTCACAACAAAATTGGTTAACTATGTGAGGTAATGTATATGTCAATTAGCTCAAATTAGCTTTCACAACATACGCATATTTCGAAACAACATATTGTATACAATAAATATGCACTAAATTTTGCCAGGCATGGTGGCTCATGCCTGTAATCCAAACAATTTGGGAGGCCAAGGCTGGAGGACCACTTGGGCCCAGGAGTTTGAGGCTGCAGTGACCTATGATTGTGCCACTGCACTCCAGCCTAGGTGACAGAGAAAGATCTTATCTAAAAAAAATAAGTAGATAAATATATTTATTTATATTTGTCAAAAATAACTACAGAAAGAGATACACACACACACACACACACGTACACACACACACACACACACGTATGCACATATACATGCATACTTACATACATACTAACCATAGTTCAACTTTTATTAAAAGGGAAAGTGAAGAGAAGGGAAGACATGTGGCCACCTTACCGCAGCATCAACATTAGCAGGTGAGTCTCCATTAGGGTCTGCCAGCATAGAAATGACACTAATCATGATGGTTTCCACAGTGTGGATAGGGAGCCAGCGTTCTTCTGGCTTTTCATAGCCATACTTATCTTCCCCAGGCTCATGAAGAATAGAAATGCACACATCGCCGTTTTTATCAACTGTAAAATTAAAGAAGAGGGTTGTTTCATATATTGCTAATTTGGCTATCATAAAATATCAATTACAAATGTGATCCTGATTCACAGAGTATCTTTATAAAACACGACATATATACAGAAGTTCATGTCTAAAAATGGAATGTGTTGGCTTTTTAGGAAGACTATAGTATAGATTTTACCAAATACATAGGATCCATCTGACAAACCCAATAGGAATGTAAGCTATCTTTTTCGTTTATGTGAAAAACATTAAAATATCTATTATATAGATGGATGGTACTCAACATTCGCGTCATAAGTACGACATAATAAATGAATAAATGGCAACTACTGAATCAGTTCTTCATCTGCAGAAAGTACCAGCAACTGAGTTTCTAGGTAATGGTTTCCTAGTTTCCCACTAACTTACAGACTTAAATTAGTGATAGTCAAAGGCCCAGAGACTTTCCTAAGAAATGTATTTTTACAATCATATAAAGGCAAAATTGTATTTTCTGAGAAAGAAGCATATTCAATTCACAAAACTAACATGCCATACTGCCAATGAAAAATCAACAACATATATGACACTCATGGGGCCTCCTTTCTATAAATACATTTAATAAGAAAATATCCTTATTTTTAGGAGACGCGTGCTGACACAACTATTTAAGTGGTTCAGCAAAAAGTAAAATATTACTTATCGATTAAAAATTAAAAGGTCGTGCAGGGTGGCTCACGCCTGTAATCCCAGCACTTTGGGAGGCCGAGGAGGGCGGATAACTAGGTCAGGAGTTCGACAACAGCCTGGCCAATACAGTGAAACTCTGTCTCTACTAAAAATACAAAAATTAGCCGGGTGTGGCGGTCCACACCTGCAGTCCCAGCTACTCGGGAGGCTGGGGCAGAAGAATCGCTTGAACCCGGGAGGCAGAGGTTGCATCGAGTAAAAATCGTGCCGTTGCACTCTAGCCTAGGTGACAGAGTGAGACTCTGTCTTTAAAAAAAAAAAAAAAAGTCCTAATCCACAATTTGATTTATACATTATATAAATAATCCCTATTGTGAAACTAATCTTTTATGGTAACATTTATCCACTGTAATGTTTTTTAAAGCATACTTTGAGGAGGAAATTTTTGAAAGAAATTTAAATAGTGACAATATTTATGTATATTTCATTCCTAACTTATTCTACATAGTCTAACAAATTTGTGAATAAATATAATTCTAAATCTTATTTTTCATTTCGTAACATCAATATTTATCCTGTTACAAACTCTGGGTAATCAGAATCAAAATTTGTACATACCAATCAATATCACTGCTCTCTTAATTCTACAAATACTTATTTTTTGGTGGTTTTTTATTGTTGTTGCTTTGGTTTTTGAGACAGGGTCTCATTTTGTCACCCAAGCTGGAGTGTAGTGGTATGATCATAGCTCTGTGCAGCCTTGACCTCCCAGGCTCAAGTGATCCTCCTACCTAAGCCCCCCGAGTAGCTGGGACCATGGGCGCATGGCATGATGCCTGGCTAACCTTTTTTTTTCCATAGAGATGGAGGTCGCACTATGTTGCCCAGGCTGGTCTCAAACTCCTGGGCTCTAGCAATCCTCCCACCTCAGCCTCCCAAGTAGCTGGGACCACAGGCACATGGCACCATTCCTGGCTAAATTTTTTTTTTCGGTAGAGATTTAGTCTTACTATGTTGTCAAGGGTGGTCTCGAACTCTCGGGATCCTCCCACGTCAGCCTCCCAAAGTTCTGGGATTACAGGCGACCAGCCATCAAATACTTTTTCAATGCCTACTGCATGCCAGGCACACATCTGACAGAGAAGTACAGCAGTGAACATATGACAGACGAGGCCCATGCCTTCAATGCTTTATGTATGAGTTTTTCTATAATTAAGGTTCCTCTTCCCAACCCACCCCTATCTGCTAGTAAAATCTATTAACTGAAATAGAATCAGGACAAGAATAACATCAAAACTTGTAACACTACAAAGTTTAGCATAAAAATTTCAGAGTATTACTATTTTTACAATGTTTTCTGTACTTGTTGTATAATAAGGATTTTTTCCAAGTCATTTTTCTTTAAAAACATGCTATTAAGTGTGTGTACAGAATTCTACTCACGGCAATATAAGATTCATTTTCCTTTTAAAAAACTTAAGTTATCACTAATCCAAGGATCTTTGTATTTTTAACCTTCTCATATAATTTTAAACAGTTTATTTTAGAAAGAGAAGATTTTTAGGTTTAATAACTATTACCAAATTATGTTTTAAAGGATTGTATCAATTTATACTGCTGTCAGCAATCTGAGATGACCATTGCATTGCTTCCTCAGGATGAACACTTTTCTTTATTGATACTGTTTAAATTTCATACATGACATCTGATTTACTTCACTTTTCTAAATGCTTTTGGGGTGACAACTTTCCATGGATATAACCTGTACGTCTTTCCTCTTTTGTGAAATGCCTGTTCTTATCCGTTAGCCAGTTACATACTTAACGTTAACTTTTCTCTTGCCAAAATATTTTTTAGTTTTCCCCATTTAATTTCTGCCTTTTACTTTTTTCTTTCATTTCAATGTTCATTAGAGATGGTTTTATTTTTCTGACACAGGACCCACTGAAGAATATGATATTGCATGCAGCTGCCATTTCTCTTTGGTCCTGTTTGTTCAGTCTTTCAGTGTTTATTACTTTTGAAAATATAACGTTTTTGTTCCTTACACCAAATAAGTGCTATTCACTACTTAAAAATCATTTGTAACTTTGTATTGCTTTTAGTGTTTTCTTCCACTTTGCTGTTTAGCATGAAGAAAATTCTATCATTTTCCCTGGAAATAGCTAGCCTATAGTCTCAACACCAGCTACTCAAAACACAGTTTAGTTTTTATCTTAAAACTAAGCTACCTGAGTTGGGCGTGGTGGCTCATGCCTGTAATTCCACTACTCTGGAGGCTGAGGCAGGCGGATCACCTGAGGTCAGGAGATCGAAACCAGCCTGGCCAACATGGTAAAACCCCCATCTCTACTAAAAATACAAAAATTAGCCAGGCATGGTGGCAGGTGCTTCTTGGGAGGCTGAGGCAGCTGAATTGCTTGAACCTGGGAGGCAGAGGTTGTTGCAGTGAGCCACTGCACTGCAGCCTGGGCAATAGAGTAAGACTCTTTAAAAAACAACAACAACAACAAAAACAAAAAACAAAAAACCCACAAAAGCTAAGCTACCTAAACAGTACATACACTTCTAGCTAGCTCCTTTTTCTTGAGGCCATGCATCTAAAGTTCTGAAAACCTGATTTACCCTTATCTTCTCTATATACTCACCACAACTGTGTCACGAGTGGTCTGGAAAACATATTTATTTTCCTGGGTACCTTTATCTACCTGAAGTCACCCGTCTGGACCAAGACAACTCATACTGTGACAACACTTTGCTGGATACATTTTCCTCCCCTGGCATCTGTGGTACTCTTGTTTTTCCCTGGTTCTTGAGCCATTCACTTAGTCACTTTCCATTTTCATCTTCCTCAATCTGACTTTTGATGTAATTCTAATCTCCAACATTAATTATATTCTCCCTAGATAAATGAGCTCATTCATTATCATGTTTTCTATCGTCTTGACACAGTAACTTCCAAGGCCCTCAAGCTCATTGCTCAACTCTGAACTAGTTTTATCTAATTATCTAACTGGATGCAGCAAGTATACCTCAAGAAAAACTGAATATATGTAAGGTCACACAAAACTATTTCCCCTATAATAATTTTATAACATCTCTATAATTCACCTACTGTACAATTTACCTATTTGAAGAGCACAATTTAATGGTCTAGTATGTCTATAAGAGTTGTACGGCAATACCACAATCGATTTTAGAATTTTTTTTCACCCTACAGTGAAACCCAGGTACCAGTTAGCAACCATTTCTCAATCACCCACCTCCCCTCCAGCAGCAGGGAACCACTAACCTACTTCCGGTCTCTATGGATTTGCCTATTCTTGACGTTTCATACAAAGGGAATCATACACTATGTCACCTTTACCTTCTGACTTGGTTCTCGTAGTATAATCTTTCCAAGTTCGTCTATGTGGTAGCATGTACCACTACTTCATTTCCTACTTTCCTTAAGAAAACAGTATCATATAATTCATTTCTTTTTATTGCAAAATAATATTCTGTTCTGTGGATCCACATTTTGTTCTTCTATTTATCAACTGATAGACACTTGGGTTGTTTCCACTTTTTGGCAGCTATGAGTAATAAATGCTGCTGTGAACACTCATGTTCAAGTTTTTTCTGGACATGTGTTTTCACTTTTCTTGGCTAGGTGCCTAGGACTGGGACTGCTGGGTCATGGTAACTATGCTTAACCTTTTGAGGAACTGCCAGACTCTCTTCCAACATCCGCACCATTTTACCTTCCTGCCAGTAGTGCATGAGAGTTCTAATTTCTCTGCTTCCTCATTGACACTTGTTATTATCTTTTTTATTATAGGAATCCTAGTCGTTAAAAAGTGGTGTTTCTTTGATTTTCACTCTATAATTATTTTTGTAAACAGCCAGTCAATCCTAAATTATTACTTCTCCAGTATCATCCACCTCTGACAGTTAAGTCTAAGTAAGCTGCCCTTCCTGTGATACTGTTCTTACTTCAAGCTTTTATTGTTTTTTACTCAAATTACTACTAAAATGCTCTACCTCATGGCTATCTGATTGAGCACCTGTCTTCCCCTTCCAATCTTCCACGAGTATAATCTTTCAATAAGGAAAATTAAGAGAAACCTATTACATAGCTTTTTTATTTTTTGTCATTTTCTCTTTTTGTCATGACAACCTACTATTATGTACAGCTTTAAAAATCATTAATTAAATGAGCATTCACAGCCTAAAGAAGGAAGTCCAAGTCAAGCATCATCTTCCTCAAAATTCCATCCAATGCTGGGTGCAGTGGCTCATGTCTGTAATTCCAGCACTTTGGGAGGCTGAGGCAGGCTGATTACTTGAGGTCAAGAGTTTGAGACCAGCCTGGCCAATATGGTGAAAACTTGTCTCTACTAAAAATACAAACATTAGCCAGGTGTGGTGGTAGACGCCTGTAATGCCAGCTACTCAGGAGGCCGAGGCAGGAGAATCAGCTGAACCCAAGAGGTGGAGGGTGCAGTGAGCCAAGATCGTGCCACTGCACTCAGCCTGGGTGACAGAGTGAGACTCTGTCTTAAAAAA